CAAGAAGTGCAGGATACCTGTTGAATTGCAGGACAGCGGACAGCAGACCGAAGGCGAGCCCATGCAGAATTCCGAACACCCATCGCCTGTGCGAAGGGTGCCACACTGCAATCACTGAAAAGCACAACTGCTGTTGGCTAACTGGAACCTGTCTGTAGGCACGCTTCATATCTTTCGTGGAAGCCTGCAAAGAGAAATCGTGCTCCAATGGGCAACTGCACAAATGGCGAAAACGCTGGCAAATAGCTAATCCCATATCAACAGAAGTTGTGTGGATTCGCTCTTCAACACTAGTGCACAGGTTATGCTCACTTGACTTGGCGTTGTCAATGCACCGATACGCCTGGTGATTTTCTTGCCAGGTGGCAAACCGCATCATTGGACGCCACTGGTAAGTGCCAAAACGCTGGTGCAGGTCTTCCGGGCTAAACCAACCCTCCAAAATTCCAAGGGCACGCTCGCCTTCAGACTTTTCCCAAACCACCTTTGCTTCATCTGGACGCGGCGGGCGTCTGCTCAGCACTTCCTCCAGCCAGAGTTGATTTGCTTTGGGGCAAAAACAGCTTGTGGACGGGCAAGTCACCCACTATTTGGACACCTTCACATAAAGCCAGAGCAGCATCACGATCAGGCCAAGCGATGCTAGCACGTGCAACCTCAAGGTTTGCTGGGCACAAATGAGCGCTGGTGCGCCGAGAAGAAGCGGAGCGTTTCAAGTCGAAGTGCTCCTGCAAAGCCTGCGCTTGCTTGAACAATGAACACAAATGCCGCCACTGGCTCTGGCGCCATGCACGAATGGAAGCACCTTGCTGAACAACTGTCCGCACCGCAAAATCTAAATCATCTGCTAGGGCCACAGGAAGTTGCAGTGGCGACTGAAGTGCTTCACTCATCGAGGCATGCAAGACAGGTGGCAGACCGAAAGGTATGAGTCTTTCTTGGCTAACTGCAAAACCTTCGCTTTTGTGTTGAATGCCACCAGCTGGCTTTGCGACCTGGAAGGCGTGCATGTCCGCCCAGTCTGGCCCAACCTGCTGGCAAGGCTGGCCCCGCACTTTTCTGTCACACAAATATGGGCAAGCAAGGTAGGATTCAAGCAGCACGGTCAAGTCTGGCAAGGTGGACAAGTCAACATTATTCAAAGCAGGAGATCCAAATTCAGCTTCGGCATGGCTAGCTGCTGGCTGTAGCACAAGATCAACGAAACATACTGGCCATGCTCGGCGCAAAGCACGTAATCGTCTGGCTTCCACGCTACCACGGTCTTTACAGTCACCCGGGGCGCCTTCCTGCAACAGGGGAGCTGTGTGGGCCTCATCATACCCGAATAGTTTTTCCACTTCTTGTGCAATCAGCTGGCGACAGTGACCAGTGCGTGTACACTGTACCTGTACATCTGGAACCTCTCCCCAAGCCAAACTGTCCCCCTGAAAACCGACCATGAACTGCCAGCCACTTGTCAAAAGGCGTGATGCCGGCACATGCGCCCATATTGGCACCACGCAGTAGTCAAAGCACATAAGTTTGACAGGCCAATAGGGTTGAAAACTTGTACACCACCAAGACTGGCAAGCTGTTGCGCATGCTTGGGCGCTATTCAAACCAAACATCGTCCCTAATCCGAAATTCTTATGAAAACATTTTGCATTTGAAGCAGAAAACCCGCCTAATGTCCACACTGTTTTCTGTTCACGGCGGAGAACAGCGTCCATGATGCGCCAAACTTGGGAATATAGACTGCCAGAGATTTCAGGCCAAGCACCAGCAACCAAGAAAATCTGCTGTGGGTGGCGCACCAGGATGTGCTGAAGAGTTTGGGGGCATAAATTTTGGATTGAACCTAGATGCTGTCCAAAAGGGAAATTAGTTGAAGCAACGAAGCAATCATCTGCATGTTCGGCACAAAAATAAAGGCTTGCGAGGCGTGGCTTGCCCCTTTTCACAAGGCAAGTGGCAAAAGGCAAAGTGCCGCCTGACAGTTCGATCAAAACAATATCATCATGGATACCCCAATGCTGTGAGTCTTCGGCCTGGCCAGTGGGGACAAATGGCGAGGCCGACTCTTCAAGTCAAGCTTTTGGGAAAGGCGTGACCTGGCCATGCACACCAGGGTCATGCTCATTGCGGCAGTGGTGGGAGGATCCGCAAACTGCACCTGATTGCAAAAGCACATCGCACACATGAGCTTTTCCTTTGGGGCAACGGCCCTTGTTGCAAGTTCGAGCATCGTTCCATCGCTTGCAAATTTCAACGCCAGAAGACAGATGATTGGCAGTGGCGGGCTTGACCTTGATCGCACTTGAAGGTACACTTTTGGCTACATCGTGTTTCAGGCTGCCTTTGTTTGCCATCAACTTGTCCCGCGCATCACTCCACAGCTCCACCTCTTCTTTCCATGCATGAAGCAAGGCCTGCCCCCAAGGCATGGAATCGGCACGGCAACGTTCAATAGCTGTGGCTCGGATTTTTTCCTCTGTTTCCAGAATGTAGGTGAGGACCACATCTTCTGGCGCTTTGCTCAAGGCAGACCAAGCCTTTTCTTCCAGATTGCTGATATAGGTGCAGACTTGCTGCCAGTGACAAAACTTAACCTGCTTGCCTCCAAATGAGACATCAAAGCAACCAGCAACAGCCCAGCCCAGACCTAGAATGCGAAAACAAGAAAAGTATGTTCGCAGCCTTCCTGAATCCTCCAAAGCCATAACATCATCATCTGCCTGAGCAACGTTGATATGCAAGGATTCGGTGACTCGGTGCTTTTTAATTGACTGGGAACGCTGAGAAGTGGCTAAACTTCTGGTCCGAAGAACTGAAAACATGGAAGGCTGCCCCGCATCAAACTCGCGGACAATACGGCCAAGCAACGTGTCGCAAACCATTTCTTTGGACTTCAGAGTCCACTGATAAAGTTCTGAAAAATCTCACACTTGGACTTACGTGTCTCGGAGTCCAAAGCTTCATCCAAAGATTCATCTGTGATACCTTGGCTAATTCGCTTCAGCCTGGTTTGGTTGATGCCATCTGCCTCTTTCCAGGCTTGCTTGAGCCGAGCCAACTGACCAATGTGGTCCTTCTGGCTCGTGTGCTGCAGAACGGCAGTTTTCAGCTGAGAGGAGTCATCAACCATGTTTGCAAAATGTTTGATTTCATGACAGTCTTGGGGAGCTTCTGAAAGCCACTTTGCTACATCTTCGTGAACGCCATTCCGGGTCAAAAGCAACTTCAAATCTTCTTTCATGGGCGGCATGGCTCCCGTCACAAAAGCTGGCTAATCCTAATAGGGACAAGCTTGCAGTTGTACGTGTAGAACAAGTAGATAGTTTGGAAACATATACAATACAATATTTCAATATATATATATATGTTCCTGCGACCGCAAAAGTGGCATGCTGAACAACATTGAGAGCAGGAAAAAACAACTTTCGAGAGCACATGGGGGTTTGAACCAAGTGCTAGGGACAGACCGCACCAATTGCAAGGTCAGGCACACTTTGTGCATTGCAAAAAAAAACCACGATGGCATGGCTTGAACACATGAACCAAAGCCCAGCCGCATTGGCATTGGGCAATGTTTGGGGGGGAACTTTCAGAAAAAAAAATAACTTAAAGCGGTGGGAGAACATTGCCGGCGCAATGCATCGGCTGCGGACATGAACATCAGAATCAATCCAAATGCAATAATTACCAGTCTGCACCCTTGCCAATAACCAACCATATAGACTGAACACATTATGGCTTTGTCGATTGTTTGAGTTCAACTGTCAAGCAGGCAGGCGCTCACGCTTTCTTTTTCCTGTGGTGCGGCAATCAAACTGCAGTGGCATGCAATATGCTCTGTGAACTGCTGCAGCTCCCATTGAACTGGCACCACTGATCTGCAGAGAATGGGGAAAAAAAAGAAAAGGCTAGCGACCACTGTGGCCCATGTCTTGCCATGCCTTCTGGAGCTTTTTAGGTAAATGGTTGAAACATCGCGGAGACCACGGCCGTCCCGTACTGAAAGCATCTTCTAGGCCTACACCAACGTCAGGGTCTTTAAGCCCTCGGTTGCAGTGAGTGTGCCAGCGCTTTGTTTGAGACTGAAGAGGCTTGCAAACATGTAAATGGCCCTGACGGCCTTTGCTTAAGAGCCATTGTATTTCATGACACTCCTCGGCTTGGGTGTCTGAACTAGAGGAATCAGAGTCACTGCCTGAAGTGCTAGGAGACGCCGATGAGCTATCAAGGTCACGGTTTGGATCAGGCAAGAGGCCACCATCTTCCGGTAAATAGATTGCAGCACGTCCATTCTGGAGGACATGGGACGCTAACCGTTTTGACTCCAGACGGGGTGGAAAATTTGCACTTAGTCCATCCCAAGTGTCAGTGGCGTGACCATGCCGAGAAACATGTTGTATGATGCACACAAGCTCAGTTTTCACGCACAAACTAGTGTGGAGTTTTTGGTCAGCATACCGCATTGGCATGCTGATGTCAAGACACTCTTTACGCGCTCCTTTCCAGTCACCAACCAACAACATTTCATGGGGATCCAAACGAGCGAGTTCGGCTATGGTTGGGAGAACCCGTCGAGCAGAGTAAGAAGTCAAGAGAGCTGCATCCATGGCTGAAAGGCCAAAAGGCGCCTGCTGAAACATGTGCTGGCTCAACCGCGAAAATCTACCTAAGGACATCGACTTAGTAGAAAACCCAGTGGCAGTCTGCAATGTGCACCTTGGAGGTGAAAAATCTGACAAAAAGAAACCAGGCTGCACTTCGCCACCGAAATTGCGAGCCAGATGCTGGTGCACTGCTGAACCAAGATCACATCCTGTCACTCCCCAACGAGGCGCCCGCCATTCAAAGGGTCTGCGTCTACCTTGGCTACGCCTCTTGCCCAGAGACGCTTTGGCAGCGATGCCGTTGTCCAGCACCCGTAAAATAACGGAACGCTGCAAGTGCGCAAACCGCAACACAGCATATGTCAGAAGAAGCCATGTCAAGGCCAAGGCGCCGACAGCATGGTTTTGACTGCCAACTAAAGATTCCAGGCCCAAAATTATTGACAAGGTCAGTGGTTTCGCTTGGCTTTCCGTGTGACACTGAGGAACCGCTGACTGGCCACGCACTCGGTCAGAGGAACTGTGAAAATCAAAGCCCAACTTCTTTTCGACCCATTTCAAAGTCGCATACGCTCCATGTGGGGCAGTAGGTCCCCGTTCCTTCAAAGAGCGGAGCCATATAGCAACGTGTATACTCGAAGGCTTCCAAGGCTCAATGTTGGACTCAGCACAGTGTCGGCGCCACCTACGCATGAGACGAAGCGCAGCTTGTAAAGTTGGAAGGGCCACCAAGCACATGTCATCAAAAAACATTGCTGCAAACTGCTCTTTGTCAGAGGGAGTCAGCGCAACATAGTCCGACCATTGGCTGCCGTGCGCGCCTACTTCCAGAAACAAGGCCCACAACTCAGAAGCAGCAGCTTCGACCACCTTTCGCTCACGAAGCTGCAACCTTTGCAAATGCAATTCAGTTTCGCTGACAGAGGCTGCCTTCAATCGGCGGCGTTTGGTGGTCGAGAAGCTCTGAAGCGGGGCTGGCGCGCAGCTCGTACTTGAAGAGTTTTGCGCGGCTGCATGCAGATATAGGTCAACATGTTCAACTCTCTGCTGCTGAGGCGCCGCTGCAAAATCCAGCACTGCTCGTCTGGCTGCCATGGCACAAGCGCCTTGAGAAGCAAGCCAGAAGTCGTGAAGTTCGGCCACAAGGCCCGCGGTAAACGAGGTTGAGGGCACGAACTCTTCAACAGAATCCCAAGCGTTAGTTTCAAGCACAGAGGTGATCCCAATTTTTGTGATGTGTGCTTGGGCATCAGTTGACAAAGACTGGTACAAACGTTGCAGCCGTGGTGAATACATTATCCTCTTTCTATGCTCTCAAGTTGTCCTCCATGTATCCCACTTATCCTGCAGCACTCGCACAGCTGAGCCAAGCCATTGGTGGCGCAGGAGGCGGAGGACACGCCAAATGCTTGAGAACATTGCCGGCGCAATGCATCGGCTGCGGACATGAACATCAGAATCAATCCAAATGCAATAATTACCAGTCTGCACCCTTGCCAATAACCAACCATATAGACTGAACACAACAACAACTACAACTACAACTACAACAACTACAACTACAAAACAACTACAGCTACAACTATATGACTGGAACTACACTACACTAATTACATTACACCACAACTACAACTCCACTACGCTACAACTACAACTACAGTTGCAGTACATCACACTACATCCAGCAGTTGTGGGTGAGGTGACCACTGCAACCATTGCAACCATTCCAGCAAACACAACTCCAACCACTTTTCGGTCAATCAGTGGATTCGCTCTGCCATCCGTGATTCACAACAACCAACGTCTCCTATAGGTTTCCTATTCTGAAACTTCCGCCACCGCCTTGTGCGGTACTACTGGTAAACATGGGTGGATCTTTCCATGGCTATGTTAGTCATAACCAGATGGTAAATCCCATTAAACACCATTAAATCCCATTAAACCACCATTAAACCACCAGATGGTATATAGTCTTGAAAGCCCTGGTGACTTGGGGATATCATTGTGCCAGGTCACTCCCCCAGATGTTTCACATCCTCCAGCTTCGCCAAAGCGCAGGTTTCCTGGTTTTTTCTGTCGCCAGTTTGGCGTAGGCAAATTGGGCATGTCATTGGGATCACCAGCCAAACATAGTCTCTGGTAAACATACAAAAAACTATAGAAAACCAGCATTTTTAATGGGAAAACTCACCTATTTCTATGGCCATTTTCAATAGCAAACTGTTAGTTTACCAGAGGGTAGTCATCTAAGCAAGAAAACACACATATAAAACAACTGAAAACCAACATGAATCGCCTGAAACAATTGGATTTGGAAGATTATTTTCTGAGATCATGCGTTTGGGGGATTCGTGTTGGGGCATCAGTTTAGTACTTACCAGCCAGTGGGAAAAGGATATCTATGATTCTTGGGGATATCCATAAATCAACTAAAACAGAAGCCCCCAATTGGTGATCTATCTATTTCTTTATATATCTATATACACACGTATGTATACATACACACATATATATATATATGTATGTATAGTATGCGTATATATATATATAAATTTGAGTTTGTGTGAACATGGAATACTCCAATTCAGAATGGATTATCATCATTCTCCTCACCTCATTTTCAGACACTCCCATACCCCATATTGTTGATGTATCCGGACTATTTTGTTAAAATGACATTTGAATCAAGGTTGGTACAATCCCAATTTTTGATGGTTGAGGCCATATTAGTATTGGTTGAAGTAAACCACCATTTTCCACTATATCACCATTATATTCCGATGACATGGTTGATTCTGTACTCCATTAAATCCCACTAAACTCCTGATTTGTCCATCCCCATGAAATTCTATCCGATTACCGGAACCACCAGGAATTACCATTCATCCCCATTGAACTCATCCCGGTCCTTGCCCTCTGGTAAACATATAAACAACTATAGAACATGGCCAGCTCTAGTTCGTTGATTTACACAAAAAAATGTGATTTTCCAGTTCGTTTTCTGTAGGTTTACCAGAGGGCAACAGATTTTTTTAATGGCAATATAACTCCTATAACTAGTTGGTTATATATCACTATAAACATTAAAAACCCACTAAGGTTATATATCACTAGAAACTCATAACTCAGGTTATATATCATGACATAAACCCATGAACAAAAACTGTTAGTTGGGTCATAACTGTACCATGGTAGCTCAAAAAAGCCAAGATACGGCAGCTTGGGCTTGAGCCAAGGCGGATTGAAAGTCCTGGAGTTGCTTCCTGGGTACAGCAAAACATGGGGATGATATGGTGATTTAATGGTGACTAATGGGGGATTTAACCTGATTTAATGGGGCTTAATGCTGTTTTAATGATGGTTTAATGGTGACTTCATGTGGGTAAAACAATGTCATAAACCACCCAAAAATGGGAATGGTATACATACCACCTATTTACGATGATTTGGGGGATGGCTTATTATTGTTGTTCCCCACATTAGTGGGGATTTAAACAACAAAAATGCATGCAGAGCACTCGAAGTTTCTTTGAGGACCAATCAAATGGGGTATATCATGGGGATCAACTGCCACATTACCTGATTTCACCAGCACACTAAGATGGAAACAAAATTTGATGGGCTCTGGCTTTGAGGATTTCCCTGGATATGGCCATTTCGGGGTGAAGCCAACCTCCTGACCTTCACCCTTGGTGTGAAGTGGAGACCGACAAGCAACACACTCATTCTGTGGCTAACCTTCGATACTCCTAATAAAAGTTTACCTTTGGTAAATTATTGAGAACTGCTCCTGCATTAACAATAGAAACAGCTGATTCACTACTGGATTCCCAGAGCAAGACCAAATTATTGTTCGTTCATCTCCTATCTTTATAGTTTATACATTTATATAGAATTATATATACAAAAGATATATCACTCTCTGTCCATCTTATTTTGGTCTTAATATCCCTGAAACACAAACAATTCACCAGGGTTTACTGGGAATCGTACATCTTGACCAAGATTCCGAGCTTCTTGCACGGCACCCAGCTTCTCCTGGAAAGCAGTGGTCACCACAGGGTCTGGCAAAACCATTCCATCTTTTTAGCATTTTGGGGTTTCCCTCTACCAATCATATTCATCCTATACCAGCATTTGGCGTGTAGGTGCGCTTTTTCACAGTATGACATTGCCGTAAGCACACAGACACACACACACATATCGATAGCTCTATATGTGATGTGATGTGGTGTGAAGTTATCTGATGTGATGCACGTACCACGCTATGACTGGCCCTATGATTATTCGACCCATTGTTGACCATATATCGAGCAGCACTGACACATGTTCAATCAAGTTCATAGAATCTATCCGAGATTCATGTGGGTATCCCATTTATGTTCATGGAGAGTCAAGACCATATAATACCACTATTGAACCAGCAATTTCAAGTATCCTGGTACTTGTGTAAACAACGCATCCTCTGGTATGAGCCAACATGCCCCCAAACATCGATGATTCAACACTAGAAATAAACACTACCATTTGGGCATAGCCATGGAAAATCACCATTTTTAATAGGTAAACCATCTATAAATGGGCAATTTTCCATGGCTACGTTAAACAACCAGAGCTCTGGTATCTCCTACAAATTCCAATCAACCTTACTGGCTGGTGGTTTGAAGCCAACTGAAATAATGTAATTTCAGCATCATCAGTCCGTTTTGACCCATTCCCATTCATTTTACATACGTTTACTAGGGATGTATCATTTTATCATTGATCATTCCCTTTACGACCTTTTACTGTTGGAGTAAAGAAACAACAAGAATGGAATCACCAAAAGTATGGAGCAAAAGACAACAATTATACAAATACCAGAACTGCATTTCATTACGCCATACGAATCGATGTAGCACTTTCGATGATTTTCAACTCGTCATAACCTATCAATTTCCCATGATTGCCGATTTATTTCCAATTTATGTCACAGTTTTTGGGGTTTGCCACCCGCTTATTGCTAGTGATATTTCCACCTCTATTCTATTTTCTATGCTGGTGACGTCACCAAAACATCCAGCTAGGGTTCTTGGTTGATTTTGGGGATTGGGCAGGAATGCTGGCATTTTTTTCAATTCTGCTGGCATTTTCAGCATCCAACTAGTGAAAGATCGTCCTGTTTTTTTTTTCCTTGCGCCCTCACGTCAGCGGATCGATCAACTTAAAATATCAAGGACGATCTTTCACTGAGGTGCTGATGTTCTCCAAAATAACGATTCTAATCTCACTTAGGTGATGTTACTAATGTCATTTGAATGTCATTTCATAGCGATTTTTTAATGTTACTTCAGGGTGTTGTCATTCAGGGTGTCGCCCCAAAATAACGATCAATTACCATTCAAATTGGCCCTCCTCTGATACCGACTCCATAATTTGGGATGAACATCCGCGACTCCAATCTGGGGGTGAACACAGGGATTGTTTTGACCCTTAGTAATCTATACATATATATATATTATATTATATATATATTATAGTATATATGTATATACATAGGTATATATACATCTATAATCATATATAGTTAACTATCAAATTATATATATATATGTATAGAATATTATAGAATCATATTGCTTATATGTCCATTCTATTCCCACTATGGTTGCTTGATGCCCCGATTTGCTGCTTGAATCACGTTGAATCATCATTCTTGTTGGTTAAACCACTATATTTGGTGGTCAATTCTTCATGTTTATTTGTTAAATCTTGTTATTTGTTAGATCTTATTTTGTCTTATTTTTTCTTGCTTAGATCAAGTGACATGTCATTTCGGCAACATCACCATTCTTTTTCCATTGATTCTCGAAAAAAAACAATTTTTCTTGCTGAAATCAGGTTGAACCAACCAGTTTCCCTTAGTACAACCACCATTTTTCCATGAACATCAACATTTTTCATGGTAAAACCACCATTTTTCCATGCCATCCACAACCCAAAATGGTCTCCTGCTGCAGCTTGTCCGCTTCGGCCACCTCCGCACGAAGCTCCAGCAGCTCCGGTGGCTCGGTGTTCTCCGCGGGATCGCTGGTCCTGGACCATGTTCAATGGGAGATCTTCAGGATCCTAAAATGGAGGTACTGTACCATATTTTTGGCCATATTTTGTGGGGATATTCCCTTACATAGGCCTTATGTAGGCCTTATATATGGTAGGTACCTCCAATTTAGGATCCTGGAATTGGCCATTGACATGTGGTTTCATAGGGATCTCATGGTGGTTCTTGGTGGCTTTTCAATGGTGATTTTTCAGGGAAATTCAATGGTGATTTGATTTTTCATGGTGGTTTAATAGGCTTTAATGGGATGATTTTTCATGATGATTTCATGATGATGCGATGGAATTTCATGGTGATTTAATGATGTGTACAATGGTGATTTAATGGTTTAATGATGAGATTTATTGGTGATTGAATGGTGATTTAAGGGAAATTAATGGTGATTTGATGATGCGTACAATTAATGTGATTTAATGGGAAACTAATGATATTCCAGTATGAAAAATAAGGGTTTCATGGTGGTTGGATGTGATTTAGTGAATTTTTGTGGAATAAGAAAGGGGGACTGATGGGATACGGGTGTATAATGAATAGAACACAGAGGTGGATGTAAAGAACCGTGGTGATTTCATTTCATTTTTATAGTACTATAACACATTACAATCAAGAAGTTGGATCATCAAACACCAGTACTTTAGGGCCTTTAGGGCGCAGTTCCACTGTGGAAAATTAGGATTCGATCATCAAACATATCGGAACATTTTTATGAACATGATGATTCACCATGTCTCTTAAGGGCCTCATATCCCAACGTTATGGGGCTTAGAATTCCATAGTTGTAGCCATAGTTGGACCACGGCCTGCATTCCCCAAGGATCAACAGGACTGCGGTGACGTTCGATGATTTTCTTGATGCCTTGTGCACTTCTTGAACAACATGACTGGTTGGTGGTTTTAACCCCTCTGAAAAATGATGGAGTTCGTCAGTTGGGATGATGACATTCCATTCCCAACTGTTTCTGGAAAGTCATTCAAAGTTCCATGGTTCCAGTCACCACCGACCTTTTTGTCGAAATTGCAGTGACATTTTTGTCCAGTTCCATCGGTTTATTCCTATGGTTTTTCACCATCAATGACCTCGAAGGTACAGCAATTTCAACCACAAAATAGATGGACCGTGGGATGATCATCAAAATGACCATAGAAATCCAATATATAAATATCATATATAGATAATACATACAATTGTATATATATATATGTTACATTTGATTATATTTATGATATACATATATATTATGTATATATACTATATATATAATTATGTATATATATATATATATGTATGTATAAATGGTAAATCTGGTAAATGTGGTAAATCCCATATATAGACCTATGGCAAAAATCTTTGGTCCAAGCTCGATCGCCAGGGCCAAGGCTCGAATCCACTTGGGACAGATGCTTCTGCAAGGCTTCGCAAATGAGTTTGGAGGCCGCCCGTTCCTGGAGGCGATCCCACTAAGCTCATCCATGCGCAGCATGCTCAGATGTCAATCATTCATCGCTTCTCAAATATGGAACCGAAACATGGTGGTCCCCACACATCTTTTTGGATCCCTGCAATCCCCCATGAATTCCTGCTTCTTGTTGGTCAAATCGACATTTTTTGTTGCAGATTTGTATTTACTGCTTAAAGAATTGAACCTCTAACTCTTGCTCATTAAAAAAGTGTTCATGAACAAACAATTCCCGGACATGCATCAACTTTACTACTTCACTGCCAAGTTGCAAGATATGATCTTGATGCATGTGACTTTTGCAGAATCAACGGCAGGGTGCTCAGCAACGAATCCTCAGGTGATGCTTCACCAGGACAGAAACCCATTGGGTGATGAGAAATCACAAGTCAAAGACAACAACCAACACAGAGAGGGTACCCTCTGGTAAACTAACATAACTATGGAAAATCACAATTTTTGATGGGTAACTCCACTATTTCTATGGCCATTTTCAGTAGGCTTTTGTATGTTTACCAGAGGGTATGATCTGTTACTCACAAGAGGAATCCGGAAAGTTCCGTGGCCGTGGATTCAGCTATTTGCACATGGTTTTCAATCACTTTCCCATGAACATCTGGGCGCCGCGTGAAAAAAACAGTTTTGATGGGTTGATATCCCTTAAAATGGAACTGGTAGTTGCAAGTCCCCATTGATCTACCACTGACCGGCCTGGATATAGCTTGTTCACTCCTCCATCTTCTAGTTTGAAACCTCATTGTAGTTGTTGCAGAGATAGAAATTCATCTTCTTGAAGAAGGTCTCATGGATACTGACCAACACCTATCCACTTGAAGGATTTGTTGTGGATGGTTCATGATTCAAGGCAGGAGATAGCTGAACGCATAAATTCATCCATCAACCATATTATCAGCCATCTGCTAATCTAATAAGGTAACAATGGAAAACCGCCCATCTATCAATGATTTTCCAACATTTAACCTACATTTCTAGGGTTGTTCCCCCTACATCAGCTTACACATTCTTCGCACCATGGCAGTTTCCCAGGCCAAACATGTTTGGTTACCCAGTTCCAACCATCCCAACTGCGCAACTGCGCGGGGCTCTTCCAGTTCGAGCTTGGCGCAAAGTGCAGCCAGTGCTTTGTGATCCAAAGATGTCGGGGCACCGCCTTGGAAGCAAAGGGCGTCTAGTCAGAATCAGAAAACCCATAGGAATAGAACGTGCAGGCAGCATATGTAAATATATGTAAAAATAACTAAATAATATATATATATATATGTGTTTAAGTTGAAACAAGACATGTTGTATACTTATGGTAATAAATTGTAAGTCAAGTAAAATGTATACCAACCTATGTAGAATGTAAAAACATACAGAATATGTAAATATACATACATATGTGTATATATATATATGTATATATATATATTCATTTAAAGTATGTAGATACTAAATATAGACAATTTAAAGAAACGTGAAGCACATCCGAAAACAAAATTAAACTATAGTCTATATAAGGCAAGTAAATAGTATATACATATTTGTAAATGCATAGTATGGAACCATAATACACATGTGTACATAGGTATATATGTACACATTGTATCAAAGATGTGAATCACCTAAATGATATACAAATAGTAGGTAAATACGACATATACATATAGGACGTACACACACACATATATATATGTATATATAGAGAACATATATCGTGCACAATTTGCAAACTATTTAACTATACTGCAACTGTGGTAGAGTCAATATACTATATATCCAATAAATAAACTGTATATCCTATATACATAAATAAAGAAATAATATATGATAATATATGAATATGTATGACTATGTATGTATATTGAAAAGAAGTAGATACTATAACAGGATTAGCCGTGCTGCCATCGTCGTCAGGTTGGAGGCGGCCGCAGGCGGCGATGCACAGTTCACGTTCCTGGGTAGATGCGAACCATGGCGCCGGAATATATTATGAATACCATCTGGTTAATAATGGTTATTAATGGTTAATAATGGACAATATATTATGAATACCTCTGGTTATGACTAACATAGCCATATAAAGATCCACCATGTTATAGCTAGGTAAACCATCTATTTCTATGGACCATCTATACCATGGCTATGTTAAATAACCAGAGGATACATACACAACTGGACCATTTTTGGGGTAAATATAGGTAAATATTCCAGCACCATGGTTTCTGAACAGTTGCATCCCACAAACCAAATATATAATCACCATGATGTTTGTCTCTGCAGGTTGTGCTGATTTTGAATCAAAAAACACATCATTGCATTCTTTGATGCCTGGAATGTAAATAACATGCATCAAACTTAAACGCAAGAAAGGCATCGGCTCATTGAAATAATCTGGGTCCATACTGGTTTTGAATCGCTAAAGATGCCTTGCTGAACCAGGCGTTTCATTTTGTTTACAAACCACCAGTGTCAACACGATTATGAAAATGGCCAAATTCGGTTTTCCACAAAAATCGGTAGATTCCGAGTTTTGCATCCTTATTTGGAGGAAAAGTTGGGGTTGTTAATGGTTACAACCACGCCGATAATCTCCTAAGTTGGGATATGATCCTGAAAAACCATGGAAATATATCCACTTTTTATTTGCTGGCAAGTCATCAATTTTCACTCACTTTCCCATACTGGTTGGTGGTTTCAACCCTCTGGAAAATATGTCTTCGTCAGTTGGGATGATGACATTCCCAGCTGAATGGAAAGTCATAAAATTCCATGGTTCCAAACCACCAACCAGCATATTCTGTATAATTTTACCATGATTGAACCCAACCTGTCTTCACTTAGTTCCCTGGATCTGCAGTAGCCCCGACAGCCCCATTGATCCGTCGCCTGTCGTGCTCGTCGTCGCCCCTCTTCCGCCTTCGCCTGTGCCGCTTGCAGTGCTGCGAGACGGGCGCGCACTGCGCCCAGGGTACTGCAGGCGGCGTCGTCTTCGGAGAGGCGCAGGGCCAGCCTTTGGGCCGTGGAAAACGTGGGGATGCCTTTTGCATAAAGGAAATGAACATATGCATGGTTTGTATCTATCTTTGTTTACCGAACCTATATCTATTGTGCCTATCCAATGTTCTATGTCTTATTGATCTGTTCCTTCATCTATTGATTTATCCAGCGACCTGCCTATCTATTTGTCTATCTCTTTGTCTACGTCTATGTCTGTGCAGATGTCTATGTAACTATATGTTAGTCTACGTCTACGTCACGTCTATTTGTATGTCTACCTCGAATGTGTGAACGGATTTGCAGCCTCACATGTACAATTATGTGGGGAAATGATTGGCTTACCCAGCAGCAAAACATAGCAAAACTGTAAATACTCAACTGAAACAATCAAATTGAATCGCGACATGGGACTTGTGTCACCGGAAACGTCTACATATTGACACGCAAACAATCACACAAACAAACACATACATATATCCAGATATACATACATGTTTACATATCTGGGTTCTCAGTTGTCGGCCCAAATTTTACAATGGGTAATGCAAGTTCTTGCCTCTATAAGAAACGTGCCCAAATATTGTTGGTGGGAATCTTGCCCGTAAATGGTTGGTATCCCGTAACTGGAAGCAGTGGGGAGCTGCATCAATTGGCACCACCGCGTTGATTCCATACTTTTGGACGGGACTTCGCCACGTTTTCGACCGGCCAACTGATTGCTACTTGAATTCACAACAAGACTCAATCTTCCTCGACCACTTGCTCTGTTGAGTCCGCCAACGCGAGTAAAGCATGATCTTCTTGTGGCACATCACGAATCATCAAGGAAGGGATCTGACACCAGCCCATCATTTTGAGGCGCGTGATGTTTCTCCCAATTTGTTGCGGTTGGGAGGTGTTCAGGATATGTCGGACGAAAATGCACAACGCAAGTCTGAGAAGCTTCAGTGGAAAAAATGAAAACAACATAAAACCTAAAATCCCAACGGGCCAAAAATTGGGGTTTATAGTGAGCAAAAATTGAGGTTCATGGAACACAACCAATCAAACCACGATTGAAATTTCGCGTGTGATTTATAGGATGAAGTAGAGTTTTCAACTTGAAGATCGCAGTGGGTATTGATCTCCGTTATAGCTGAGTAATCCCAAGGGCTGGCTATGTCCTAGCTTTAAACACGGCCCCTGTAAATGCTATCCCCAACTTCAAACGTGGGAAAGAGGCTGTCAGATACAACTTCCTAAGTATTAAGTTCAAACACGTTGAAAAAAGGATCTCCGGTGGCATTGGCTAACCGGCCCAATCAATTTTCGGAGGCTTGGGAAAGATTTTGGAGCAGCAACGCAGTTCAAAACCCACCAACCACGACACCGAAGCCATCTCCATGATGAAGCCCAGCCCTCCAAAACACAGCGAGGACAACCCGCTGGCTATGCCAACACATGAAGCTGCAGAGATCCCAGCCCTTTTGGATGTGATGTTTCTCCTCTGCCCGCATCAAACTGTTTCACATGGTGAGGCAACCTGAGACCCTTGAGGTCAAGCTCTTTGCATTGTGCACAAAGACATGGTATAACTAACTTTTCTTTGGGGGTGTACAAACATGTTTAGACAAACCCCAACATTATGTCAAGTCGCTGATATATATATAGATACGTGTATATATATATATATACATATAGATAATGTCATTATAGCAGCAGCATGGTTGGTTTTATACTCTCATATCACCATTCTTGACGGTCTAATTCCAATTTTGCCTTGTTAAAGCCGTCATTTTCAGACACACCCATATATGATTCTTCTTGGTTCCCGCAATGCTTTAGCCATTCTTGTTGCTTAACCTCCGATGGTTCGTTCTACCATCCCATCCCTTGCCAGCCAAGCCGCTGTTCTTCCATTTCCTCCATGCGTCGTCGCGCGTCTTGCACCTGCGATGCCGCAGAGAGCGCTGCCAGCTGCGCGGAAATCACCTGCGACGCGGCAGGCGCGGCAGCTGGTGGATGTGGATCCAAAAGTAATCTCATCCCATGAAACACCCTCATTGCATGGTCCCAAACAAAAATATGTGGACATTCCCTACATCCACCATGGTTTCCATGTCGGGATTGATCCCATCCACTTGGATAACTGATCAGTAAAATGGGATAAACCACTTAGAGGACTTGCTAACCAAATTCTTGACTTCACTTAGTGGGATGATTTTTGAAGCAAAACCCATGCTTGACTTAGGGGGTTTACATATATTTGGGATTATTTGGGACTATACCATGGTGATTTTTTTGATTGTTTGAAGATCAGCGGATCTTGAATGGGCGAACATGCCTGTATCGTTGGATGTAATTACATGCAATGGATGGAATGGAAGATTACAACATGGACATGGAGATGAAATGGAACCTAATGGCAAATATGTATAGAATAAACCTGAATGTTATAAACCGAATGCTATACATAGGGTTTCCTGAATGCTATAAACCGACTCCAGCTGTTACGACCTCCCAAAAGTAGGAGCTTCCCTATCACGGACCATGATGAGTCACCCCAAGTGATTCAATCTGTCCAAGTATCCATATCAATTGATGGCTGTAGTTATCCATTTGAAATTTAGGATATTTCCCATTAAATGAAATGTAGTGGTTATCCATATCAAATTTGTGTTTGATATGGATAACCACTAAATTCATGGGAATATCAATTGAAATGTATCCATTTGAAATTCCATGAAAACGGGGACACATGGTTGTACTCCAGTGAAAAACACTACTTGGCTTAGCTCAAACCTCTGACCATTTTTGATTATAGCAACTCCCAAAACGATAAAACAATGGTTCGAGGATGTTTTTTCGATTCTGTTTCCTCCACATGTTCCAGGTTTCCAACTTTTCTATGAAAAAAACCGGGGGTGGGGTGCTATAACAATGTCTAAAACAATTTCAACAACCCATGAATAAACCCCATGCGGTTTATTTTTTCCTCATCAAGTCAAGCACAGAACATATCCTATCAATGTTCAGTTGCGCCTCTATCATCCCTTTATACTGGTTGGTAGGTAGGGATTTCCAAACATAATCATCACCAAACATTTAGGCAGGTTAACGATCCCTTATAAATAATCAAACAGCCAACATGTATCAATACAATCAACCATATCCCTATATTTTTGATGCTTCAATTCCATTGGTGGGTAAAACATGCTAAAGCCAATGCAACGCTCATTGGGTTCCCAGTGTTCAAAACTCTTTTGATTATGCTTGGTTAAGAACGGATTTCCCAGTTCATGGATTGTGAGAATCCCAAATGAATATTGAATAGGATAGCCCCCGAACCAATCATCAACTTCATCAACCATCATTTACTAGATATATACCAATTTATTTTTTATGGTTCGAATGAACCCTAAAAATACCAGTAAAATCACATTAAATCAACTATATATAATATAGTAAACTATATGCATAACAACAACGTGTGTATATATATATATATATATACAATAATAAAAACAATGACAATGATAACAACAACAAAATATTATATGTATATATTAAATATAGAATTATGAATAGAATATAAAATTACATTATATATACAATATGCTATTATGAATATTATCATAATATATATATAGCCCCCCTCAGTTGGTTCCCCTTGTCTTGGGCCCAGCTGTGCCTCTTCTTGGGACGACATCTTGCTGTCAATTACATCCTGCGATCACCAACCGTTCAATATGTTCAATCTCTGGAGCTGGGCATGTGCCAAATTTCAATGGCTTTTTACCCTCTGGTAAACTAACATAGCTATTGAACATGGCCATTTATAGTGGATTTACCCATTAAAAATGGTGATTTTCCATAGCTATGTTAGTTTACCAGAGGGTATCAACATCCTGCTTGTGATTTCCAACATTTTGTTGATGAAAGCACGATATGGCAGGGATCAAAACCATCATCCCGCGATGTTAATCAGATTTAATCAGTCCCATTGTGGCAGCCTTGACCCGAACCACCCATCACATGACCAAACAAGATCCAATATCTATGTAAATGGGGATATGAATATACAAATACCACTAGATAAGGGGTCAAGATATGAATATTGTTCTAATTGGCCACACATACTGCTCAATTCAACGACAATGGGCCTGTAATGAAGGGTACCAGCACTATCAAATATCGATGCGGGTATGATAAACAATCATTGAGTATCCGTCAGTATCCGCAAGCACATCAACAGGGAACAGAGCAGCTTCTGCGGTCCTCCTTACAGAAGTTGGATTAAGAAAAACGGGGATAGGACAAGCAATCAAGAAGATAATATTCTCATATAATATATAGCCTTATCATAATATATATATATAATATAATATTATCATAATATATTTATCTTCACTGTACTTGGTGTACAATCAGCACTCACTGGGACACTGTTGCAACATTGATGGGGATAGAACCAAAGATCAAACGACAAAATGGGGATACAGCCAGAAACAAATATAAATGCATCAATGATGATAGTAACCAAACATCAACAAGCAAGATACATTGACCATGAATGGTAAGCACTAGCAAAGACATCACTAGTGAAAGTTTGAGGTCTCAATGCCTAGCCTACACATGGACTTTCTGTGGCCTTGACTAAACAATTTTACCCTCTGGTAATTTAACATAACTATGGGAAATCACCATGCTATTACTGGCTAAATCCACTATTTCTATGGCCATTTTCAGTAGCAAACTGTTAGTTTACCAAGCCGGGTAGTCCGGCCTTTTGGACCCAAAGTCTGACCCATACCCGGCTCGATTGCTCGATCACCTTTTTTGCGATACGAGTTGACATCCGTCTGCATATATTCGACAAACACATGTGTAGACTAAATGTGTACTGTGTACATATATATATACACATATGTGTACACAGTAGAACCTAACTGCATGAATTGATCTAGATGTATGTATATATATACACATGCATTTTCACATATCATATATGTATACTACGGACACAGGACCGCCTCTCCAAAATACGAAAGTTATTCTCTCTTCCTTCTTGTTTTTTTCGATAAGGCCTTTTTTGGACCCAGAAAATAGACACATACAGGTAGTTTTGTTTGAAAATAGGGCACACAAGCATGGTTCTGGGTAAATTATAATAATTCACTAACCTGAAATAAGATGAAATAGGGCTATTATTCCACGTTGTCTCAACTGCCGTTGTCTCAACTGCCGCCCCCCAGGCTATCTTGGGGATGTTTCCCCTTACTAAGCATGATGATATGTTTGTATCATTGCCCCCATTAAAATTGCCGTTGAAGCTATCACCAGCTTTCGGCGCCTGCAACAACTTGGTTTCCATCTCCTGACAGCTGCTTGTTGTTCGGCAAGATGGGTATGGCTAGAATTGTCTGAACTTTGGAAAGGTCAATTATGATTAAAATTGATTAAATACTCATTTTATCCCCATAATCTTAGTATACTAAATCATGATAATCCCAATTATATGAATCCACCATTATGGTTATGGCCAATTTGGTGGATTCATTGGTACCACGATTTTGATCTTTCTGACTACCATGAAATGCCATGATATTGCCCCGACATGCCTACTACTTTACCACTTTATTTTTTTGGGGGGGATATAAACTTCATTAGTTTCAATCCACTGAAGGTAGATTCAACTGACAAGAATCCTGGGGCACCGTTCCATGTTTGATTTAGCTTTGAGGGCTTGTTCCCCCGTGTGGTGCAGAATTTACCTCAAGTTCAAAAAACAAACAACTTATAACTGGTGGACCTCACATTTCCTGATCGTCACACTTCTGCCCACTTTAAGCCCATGTTCGTTTGTTGCGCCCAATTAAAACGTGTTGAATGCTCCGAATTTCGACTCCCCTCCAGCAAACTCACATGCATACGTATATAATAGTATAATATGCTTTTCCTTGATTTTTTCTTCTATGTTCCATGCCTTTATTAGTTTGCAGGGGAACATGATTCTTATTCCTTGGGGCCCTGGGTTGCACAAAGCTGTTGCTGGGTCCTACCCCAACCCTACCCCCTCCGGTGTTCCTTCAATACCTCGCCGATGAAACCAGCTACCGCCACTTGTCGCTTGTCGCGTTCTTTGACCTCAAATACTGCTCAACGGCTGGACACTGCGGATGTTGCTGCTATTTGTATATGTAAAATAATTTGATAAATCCTTTTGAATTGAGGGTACTTACTCCGTTTCCAAAGAAAAATATGTGTTACAGTTAAGTCATGGCTGATCCCAAAAATATCTCAATTGGAGTTTTATTAGTGGTTTGGTGCCGGAAGAATCAAACACATGGCTACGGATAAAAACCCTGGTAACCCGATGAACACCAAAGTAGATCAACATAGCTGGTAAATGGAGGTTTCCCCAAATTGGCATTAACTTGAGATTGCTGGATTTCCGCATGAAAATCACTTGGATGATTCACTCCACTTCAAATCCCATTGAAAAACATGATTGTTCCTCATTTCCCCGCGCCAAGGTACCGGCACCCCAAGGGTCAAAGGAGTGGCTTCTAACAGCATTGCTTTACCTTGCGGGCACCTAAATGGCCCCCCCAAGATGTATAGATGCAATATGATGCAATACTAAACGAAGGATTCTTGGGGGATGTTGGGGGGAAGGGATCTATATTCTTCAATTTTGACATACTCTGCAAGGGTTTTTTAAAGAACACACATTTCGACATTCTGCGTATTTTGTACATCCTCAGGTCTCAAAACATGGACAGTCATGGAGTCCATGTGGGGATGGGTGAAATCCTGTGGTAATTTGTTACAGTTTGCTATTGAAAATGGCCATAGAAATAGTGGATTTACCCATTGACAAATGGTGATTTTCCAGTTCGTAATGTCAACGTTTACCAGAGGGTAAACTCAAGAAGAATTTATCCACCACTTTAAGAGAAATGGCGGGCGAATAGCCATCCTCAACTAGAAGTTTCTTGTTGGGCCACATTCTTAATATGATCTTCCCTATGAGTGGGCGGATGAACAACCAGCTGTCGCTACAGAGAATGCAATTTTGAAGTGACAATCAGGGAGCCAGGGTGCACTGACTCATATCTGTTTCATGGTTGAGTTTGAGGGAAACCAGTTTTCCAAATGAAAGTCTCGAGATCGCTACCCTTTGATACCTTTCAACTTCAGTAGTTTATCATTTGTTTTTTAGTGCGGTATCCGTCAGGATTCGGATCTTCCACATAGAAATATAAATCTGTTGATTGGCCAAGTGGAAGCCCGCAAATACCATCTGGTTATTTATCATAGCATTGGAAAAGGGTCATTTATAGATGATTTATGATGATTTACCTATTAAAACTCGTGATGATTTACCTATTCAAACTAGTGATCTTCCAGTTCACTACAGTAAATTGCCAGAAGGTAAATTAATTACTTATATTCTATGCATATTCTATGAATATTTCATTTATATCCCAGTGAATCACCAGTTTTCATGGTTAAACTTATCTTCAATCATCATCAAAACACCATTTGGATTTGCCTTCCGGCACCACGCCCCCCCCCAAAAAAATATTCACCAAAAGATTCCTTTCCCATCGGGAAAAGACATATCCCATTATATAACCCATTATATATCTATTGTATCCCATTCTCCTCTGGTAAACTAACATAGCCACATAGCTATGAACATTCACCATGTTTAATACGTAAATCACCTATAAACAGGTCAATTTCCATAGTTTATTGGTTTGCTGGAGGGTATATCCCATTTATAGGATATATATTCCCGTTAGCATCCATTGGAGATAGACAACCGGCTCCAACGTCGCGCCAAACGACATTCCTCGGGCAGAGACAGTGACTGCAGCGCCTCTGTCACACAGTGACCTGGGATGTAGACAGTACCCATTTTGGATCTGTGGTACATATATAACCCATAGTTCATCCTGTAAGTGGGGTGGTGGGGATATTTCATATGTATAACTGAGGGTATAATTCATGTCTACTATAATGTATATATAGATATAGCTATTGGACATATATATATAATATTGATTGTATTCATACGTATAGGGAGTATATGATAGTATATGTGGGGGAATGGGAGTTCACCAACAACAGGAATGTAATGGGAATATAACCAACACATGGTTATCGAATATAATATACTGTATATATAGATATATATATATAGATATGGATGTATTGATTGTGATGGTGACAGTGATAGATATAGTTGTGTATACATATAGCTATGTAGTGGTACGAGTAACTGGTGAGGATCTAAGGTTTGATCCAAAATATATTCGATCCATAATTCTTCACTCATATTGCATTGAAAAAATGACCCATCAGATTCCATTGGCAGATCATTTTTGAATATGTTTGACCCATAATATTGGGGATGTATGGGGATATCTATCAATTTTGGGCTGGGATTATAACATCCCAGTCTTTGATAGTTTCAGTCAGTTGAGTCTCTATTGCAAGTGGCCAAATATCCCAAAAAAAATCCCATATTAGTCTGGGCAAATTTGTCACCCAGTTGGCTCAAATCCCAGAGGATCTCTGCAAACTGAACATGTCGCTGGAATTCAAAGCTGGTGCCACTTTTGTGCATCGCGAGTTTGGGTTTCCGGTTCCATGTTTGTTGGCCCTCCTAAAATTGGTGGTTGAATTAAGTGAAATCACAAGTTTCTGGCAATTGATTGTCCTTCTCTCGGAAAGATCTCCTGTAAGTTAAACCGAAGCTGATTGAAGCCGTTTTTTTTTGATTAGTACAAAAATCTCTGCTATATACCATGGCATATGCCCCCAACAATAACCAAAATTTCCGCCGAACATGCGTGTCGCGGGACATCGTGTCACGTCGCTTCGTTCGCCCGACAGCTTTGGACGCTTTGGGATCTCGCCGAGGTGTCGTAGGGAGAGATTCACAAAGTCGGGACTAAAAAAAATGTTCAATTAGTGGAGAATATCTGGTTGGTGATTTTAACCCCTCTGAAAAATATCAGTCAGTTGTCAGTTGGGATGATTATTCCCAATATATATATATATATATAAAGGGTACCCTCTGTTAATTTGTTACAGTTTGCTATTGAAAATGGCCATTTATAGTGAGTTTTTCCCATTAAACATGGTGATTTCCCATAGTTTTCTGTAAACGTTTACCAGAGGGTAGTGGAGAATATTCGCTTCGTGAGGGTTGATCAATGTTGATCATTTTGGATGATGATCATTTTTGGATGATGAATGTTGATGCATATGACTTGGAGATAGCATTAACCAAAATGATATCCGAGGATACCAAATAAACAAACCATGGAAAAATCAAAGGTATGGGCTGGGACTGCTGTGCAAACCTTTGGCTTTGATAGGCACATCCCCCCCCGGCCGGTCGGGGATTGGTGGTTTAAGATTCGCAAGTCTTTTTGGACCAGACACAAACATTTTTGGTGATACGAATCCATCTTGCAAGGTACCTTGCAATGATTGATGGATTGATGCCACCCAGCTTTTGCTATCAATATTCTGGTCCGTTAATGTACTATTTCTATGTGAGCTAAAAACATCCTGCTTGTAGGTCAACCCCATGAGATTTCGGGCAAAAAAAACACCAAGAAATAGAACAGTAGACCCCGACTACAATAGGGGTAAAATACGTTTCCATTTTTTTTGGTGTTCACTAATTATAACTGGTTGTTTTTTCTTATGTGGTGGTTTATGGTTTCTCAAATGCTTGACAATCGCAGTCATGTTGCTAATCAATAGTTTTTTTTTATGTTTTTTTCTCTCAATGGATTGGTGTAAGGGAAAATTTGCAGGACACCCCCTAATCCCCCTATACGTCATGGGAAAAATCCTGGTTTCCAATGATTTTCCACGAATTTCACCGATCAAAAACCGCGCCTCTGGCGCCAGCGTTTCCCGCCGTTTGCGAGGCATGGCTGCCGAGAGGTATCTTTCAGCAGTGATGATTGGTGAGATGATGACTGTTGCTCATTTATCACTGTTGATTAAGATGATCACCACTGATTTTTCACTGTTGTTGTTAATTTACAATAGCTAATAGTGATGATCACTGTTGATTGAGATGATTGTTAAAGGATCTATTGTTGGCGTATCAGTATGAACTATTTTTCAAAATTGTATTCTTGTTTTTGATACTATGGTTGCTGGTTAAGTACCCAAATAATTGTTGGGTAAGCCGTTGATGCTTTGCAAGCAGAATCTTGAGACTTGACCAGCCATTAGGATGATGCCAGCAGGATGCTAGCAACATGACAGCGTTGCGGATCACCATTTTACTTCAAGTATCATCTGGCTAATTTTGAGCCACTGCAGGGTGCAGGGTGCCGGAGAGTCCCCATCCTGGACTTGGGGTCCCCGGTCGTTCTGATTGGTGGATTGAACCATTGCCACGTCACGTTTTTTATCCGTGGGATCGTCCCAGTCGCTGGATATCTCAGGCTGAAAATCATCTTCCCAGTAAAGTCAGGAAAGCCATCGGTTGGGGTAGCATCCCCCATTCTTCCGTGGGAAATAAGCCATATCTATGAGTGTTAACTCCCCATAGATTTTTCATGAATGGGGGATCCCCAATAGCTGGATGGTTTAGAATGGAACATCCAGTTGATATGGGTTTGTCTGAAAATAGGGTATATTCCCAAACAAATAGCCATTTAATAGGGATAATGATCAGCAAAACCATTGGGTAAATGGGGTACACGACATTTTCAGACACACCCATATGGATGATTTAGAGGTACCTCCATGGATTGGAAACCTCCCACCCTCTCGGCCTGTCCGTGGCCTTGCACTGCTGAGGTCAATGTGGGGGTCTGGCCAGGGCGAATCCACGGATCGGCAGCACAACTGCTGGACCTCGATCCGATCTATCTATCTGTCTGTATATTGATCTGCTTATCTATCTGCCTATCTATCTATCTATCTATCTGCCTATCTATCTATCTATCTATCTGCCTATCTATCTATCTATCTATCTGCCTATCTATCTATCTATCTATCTGCCTATCTATCTATCTATCTGCCTATCTATCTATCTATCTATCTGCCTATCTATCTATCTATCTATTCCGTATGTATATAAATATAAATGTACTAAATAGAAATAAACAAACAAATAAATAAAAAACACAAATAAATAAAACACACACACATATATATATAAATAAATACATAAACAAATACATAAATAAATCATATAAAAATATCAAATGCGGAATTCACAAAATTATTTGAACTTTTCTACCTTTTTTCAGCAGCTTGATCTTCTTTCGTCTGACTCTTTTTCTTCTCTGACTATTCCCACCTCAGGAGGTGATCTACAAGAAATAAATCCCAGCATGGATACTTGAAGCCTCTCCCCACTTAGTACCTGGTCATGAACTGCGCAATTCCGAACATGGCCACTGGAAATTGCGAGCACATGCCAAGAAAATAAATCAAAGTGCGCTTGCAAGAGTTGATGCCCTCGGTCACTGCAATTGCCTTGGAGGTCTGCTGGTGCACCTGCAAGCAATGTCTTCGGACCTGCTGCAAGGAAGCTTCTGTGCTTGTCAACATCTTTGCCCAATCACTGTGGTCGGTCGAACAAGGGCGCCCACCCACAAACCTTGAAAATGAAGGAGGCCCAGAGGATATGGCCCACTGAAAGATCCGGTCTTCGAAACGTCATCACGAAACTGCTGGAGCATTTCCCGAGGACACGACTTGGGATTGAACAATCGCGTGACTCAGCTCCATCTTCGTGTCTAACTTCGCGGATCGAAGAGACACTGCCTCAAGGTGAAATCAAGAAAACAGATAAAATGGTGATATGAAAGCACCACGACATAGTAAAATGGTCTGTGAAGCCTGCACAACGTCACTAAAAAAAGCTGAATGTGAAGCAACAGATGCTGATTGTGAGTTTCGATCACTGGATGTTCCCATTTTTATCTGGTTGGTGGTATACCTACCCCTCTGAAAAATACGAGTTCGTCAGTTGGGATGATGAAATTCCCAATATATGGAAAATCATAAAATTCATGTTCCAAACCACCAACCAGTTATCCATTCTTTCTTAGGTTTCGAGTAGATTCTAGCATCCTTTCACAGTACACCCCAGAAATGCTGATGTTTTCAGATCATGAAATATGTTCGGTGGTACAACTAAATGCGACTGAAAACCCCTCACCAAAGTTTACTGGAATATTCCCCCAGTCACAGTGCAAGGGGCTGGTAAAACGATCACTGCTCTGTGCACCTGTATTTATGGATATCCCAATACGTAACCAGAAACAACGAGCATGTGTTCTGGTTGTAATTATGTTGGGCAAAAATTGGAAAAACACATGTATTATCTAACCCACCGGTTGACGAGCTACACTCACAACACATGCCCCGCATTGCAGGGACCCAGATCTCGTGAAGTATTCCCAGAGTGCTATGGATCAAAACCTATCTGCCCGAGGTTTGAAACACAAAAAAAGGTTTCATGTTCATAGGATGTTTATCTGTTCATCCCCCCAAATATATGGGATGTTTATCTCAAAACGACTCACCATATTTCGGATCTTTCTTGCCCTAAAAAATCCCATATTTAAGGAAACAAGTACAGGAAACCACCATATTTTCAAAGGAAGAAACCATGATTTCCGGTGACGCTTTTGGTTTTCAACCCAATGATACCAACCATCAGATGATCAGATGACATCCCGAAGCGCCTTCTCGGACGCCTTAGCCTGACCGACGGATTTCTTTGAAACCACGCCCCAAGATTTGATGGCTGATGATATCAGTTTTCCCCATTGAAAATCGTAATTAAAAATTATTCCCCATTTTTAGACAAAGCTCGAAAAAAACGCATGTTCAGTCACAGTGTCACGCATCGATAACCTTTTTTTTACGGTTCGGTAGAATGAAGAGACCCGATCGCAGGCCTAAAGGCGTGAACTGCTCACGTCACTGGGGTTTGCCTTGAACTCACATCCTACTTTACCTACTTCACTAATCTTGGTATCTTTGGGATTGCAAGGTAGCACTCCACCTGGATGCAGCTTCATTTTTCCAGCCCCAGGTCCCCACCAACAAAAAAATCAACATCAGCACGGAGCGGCAACTTCTGTGTGCACCGTCATAATTTAAACCAATCCATATGCCATCCATCCATCATATATTCCCATTGCATCACCAATAATTTCCTGTTATAATATATTCCCATGAAGCCGCCAATATTCATGATGTTCCGGTTGAATCCCTAGCATATCCCTGTGAAATTCCCATTATGTTCCAATTACATCATCATTAATGACTCGCAAAATGATAATCCCATTTAAACTGGGGTTATAATATGTACAAGGTGGTGTCCCATAGTTAGCTAAGTTGGTGCCGATAAGTCCAATTTCAGGGTTGATTAGGGGGTTATATCTATAGTTAATGGGGATTATAAACCCATAGGGGGTGATATCTATAGTTAACTATGGTTATATCTATAGTTAATGGGGTTGATTAGGGGGTTATATCTATAGTTATAACTGGGGGGGGGCACCACCTTGTAATTAATGTCAACCCCGGATTAATAAACCATGGTTTATTAATTAGGGAGGTACTTCCGCAATAGTCATGATTTGATACTTAAATGGTACCTTCCCAATTAAACAGCCGTTTGGGGTTTATTAATCCAGGGTTTATTAATTGGGGTTATCTAACTATAGAATATAAACTATAGTATTCTATAGATAACTAGGATTTAGGGGGGAATGGATATATCTATAGTATTACCCATTTAGCTTCGCCGGTTCGGGGGATGAACCGCCTGGCCTCCTGCCCCGCCAATTGCAGCAGCCGCCGCAACTTCTCGGCGCCGAAGAGTTGTCGACTGTCCGGCGCCAGTGCTGCTGAAAGACGATGGAAGTCCTCTTCCTGGGAGGAAACGATAAGATGTGGAGGTGCTGTATGTATATATAATCATATATATATATATTATCATATATATATTATGTATAAAATATATAATATATTATATATATATTATAATTAATTATATATCCATATGTGCATATGAAAATCCGCTGTCTCAAAGCCAGCATCCAATACCTGTTTCAACTCATTTGGGCTTGTATGAAAACAGGGCAGCCCTAAAACTTAATGTTTCATCAATTTTGCGGAACTATTAGCCGCTGAGTGGATCGAGATATCTTGGAAATCAGATAGGAACATGTCCTTGGCCCCAGAAAAGGCAATGAGTTGGGGCATGCCTGTTTCGCAGTCTGCTTCTGTCCTGCAAGCCCAGATCATAGCGCTGGCACGCGGCCTTCAGTGCAGCAAACGACATCTTACCATGCCTCGGTCGTGGGTCAGCAGCTTGCAGCAGGTGAAGCAAAGGCTTGGACCCACCAAATTGGGTTTCCATGTGACTTTGTGGTAGATGTGGGAGTGTCACCAGGAAGGGTGAGCTTTAGAAACACCTAAGCATTCATTTATGGCTTCAGCAAGCCAGGTTTATCCAGTATACAATACGTAATATAATATATATATATACACATGCAGGTATATGTATATATATATACACATACATACAGGCATGTGTGTATGTATATATATATATATATATCTATATATGTACATACATGTATATATGCAAATGTCTTTGCCTTGCTCAAAAAAGGGTATCGCTTTTTGGGAGGCATATCGCAAACCATCTCAGAAGATGACGGAGGAACAAATCTGTTTAAGGAACGGAAGAGGAAAGGAAAAGGAAAGCATGAGGAAAGGAAGAGAAAAGGAAAGGCAAAAGAAAAGAAAAGGAAAAGGGCAATTTTTTATACCGCAGCAATGTTGGGCATATCCCCACTATTTCCCCCTTATTGATCCTTATTGTAGATGCTGAAAGGTACATCTCGCCTCTGCCATAAATGGGCTCCCCGGCATGTCGGGATCCAAGATCTTCAACAAACTCAAGTTGCGACGCTGCAGCTTCGACAGCAACACCTGTTTAAGGACACCCCAGGGCTAAAGCTGGTCCTGTTGGGGTATCGATTGCTAGCACATTGGCTGTAAACCCAATTCCCCCAAAAAACACAAACACTGGGTGTGTTTGATTTTTTCATGAAGACATAGTGGAATCTAGGAATATAAAGTGGGCAAAACGCGATACACACTTGACATGCAATATGATGAAACTGTTTATGTGACACTGGAGCATACCTCTAAATGGTGATTTCAGAGGGGACAATGGCTCCGGAGCTGCAAACCTCGGATTAGCCGCCCACCTCCGCCACTGGCCGCACTTCCAAGCGCTTGGCTGCTTCGTCCTGGTCCATTCCGAGTGATCTTTCGAGACCGGGGTGAGCCTAATGACAGTGAAACCCCTTAAACCGAAAAACTATGAAAAACTCCAGTCAAATGTCAGATGGGGAATTCCCCAACAGGCGATGGATGCGGTGTCGAATAAGAAACACGTTCAATTGTGAAGGGGGGCACCAATTGCAGTACTACTATCAGGAGTAATAAAATAACCGTTCAATTGCAGTAGTAATACCATCAGGAGTTTCCAGTACTGCAAATAAAATCACGGATTCTTCGGTATGGAATTTGCAGTCCATGCTGCACTCTGCGCCGGATGGGAAGTGACTGAGATTGGGGATTTGCCGTGCGACATGGGCATCGGCCCACATGCATCGCTCTGCCTTTCTTGACGAAAGGTCGCGGCAAGCGCACGTAAACAAAATTTATGAATTTAAACAAGTGCACTCACTTTCATGAAATTTATGGATCTATCAAATTAGATGATCGCACTCAAGTTATTATCCCATATTATCCCGGGATGCAAGTGAGGTTTGGACGCTATCTTCAACAGGAATACATGACGTCTGCAAGGAATCCACAGGGACACCAATGCAAATTTCTATGGAAACAATAAACGACACCGATTCTACCCTCTGGTAAACTAATATAACTATAGAGAATCACCATTTTTAATGGGTAAATCAACTATAAATCGCCAATTTTCAATAGCTATGTTAGTTTACCAGAGGGTACTGATATTGGGAGATTTTCCTTCCAGAACTTGTTTCGATTGGATCCCGAAACGTTTCACAACGGAGATCGCGGAATCCAGGTCCTCTTCTGGAACTCGAATGTCTTGAAGCCTGCAGATCTATTGATCTGGCACTTCAGCAGCGGAAAAGCTACAACTCTATGGGGATGTCATTTTTTTTTGCCAACCTTGGTTCAGAAAGGCGTGTTAGTTAGATTTAGTTAGCCAATATCTACCTATGTTAGCCAATGTATCTACTAGAATTTTCATTGTACCACAATATCTACCACAATAAAGCCTTGTTAGTTAGCCAATGAGTTAGTCATGCCATGTCAAGTTGAAATCCCATCGTATCCAGTTGTGTCCCGCTGATCCCTCCATTAAAAAAAGGCTATGTCAGGGGATGGTAAACTTACCATGACTTGGATGGGTGGTATGTTTACCATCACCAAATGTTCAGTTTATGGCCAGGGTTTCCCAGAAAAAAAACATTAGGTTTACTGAACTGGGGGATACCCAGTCGTCGCCACAGGTTTTAATACTAAAATGGTCTAATGACTTGTATGATTTGAGGGTACCAGAATGTCTTAAGAAACCTCCAAATAGCTATGGGATGGGTCAAAACCTATGAAATTACCATATGACTGGGGAAATAAGCATTCATTAACCAGCTAAAATGGTATATTTTTAGACAAACGCAATTAAGATATATCACCCATATATACAAAATCCCTATACTTGTTGTAGTGAACTAAACCATACTAAACCACCATGATCCACCATTATTTTCCACCAGCATTATCTGGTTGGTGGTATACCTACCCCTCTGAAAAATATGAGTTCGTCAGTTGGGATGATGAAATTCCCAACTGAATGGAAAGTCATAAAATTCCATGGTTCCAAACCACCAACCAGCTAAAACATCTTAAAACCCAACTTTCGGTTGCGACCCCGTGGTCTCAACTCTGAGCTCACCTGGACAGCAGGTGATCGATGCGCAACTCGCTCCGGCCGTGGCGCTGCGGACCCTGCTGGGCACCTCATGCTCGATAACTGGGGACATCCTACAACTGGGGTATAGTATGGTATACTAATTCCCAAGTATGATATACTATACCATTATATTCCCATATAGTATATAGTATAGTCTGGTATAGTGACATACTATGGTTATACTATGGTTATATATATATATCCCAAGTATGAAACGGATTTAGTGAGCCCCCAAAAAGTCACATCTCCGGAACGAAGTGCGGCAAATTGGATGAGCCAGTCAGCATGCGGCGAAGAGTGGGGTGTCACGAAGAAACACGATATTTCATCAAATAATCAAAGGACTCCATTTTTCGGCGATGGGTCACACTGATGAAGCCCAAGAGTTGGGTGTTCTTTTTTGGAACATCACCAAAAAAAAAGGTCGGGAAGTCCCAAAATTTGACCCACTCATCAGAGGTGGGAGGCAAGAGGATCTATTTGAAAAATGCTGCAGCGGATGGAACCAAATAAGGCATTTCTGGCGTGGAAAAAAGCTTGAAATTGGAAAAAAGTCACCAAATAAATCATTTGAACTGTTGCAAATCTAGAACATATTAAGTAAACATGTTCATTGCGTCCTTTTTCTATGGAATTATCGGCGGTTATTTGTGTTTTGTTAATCCTATCCCCTGAGAAGAACCGTTTGGTTCAATCTCCGTCGGTTGCATCCTGCCACCGAGTGACACACACACTTTTGTTCGATGGTTGGCCAAATGCCCAGTAAACTTCTCTTGCTGCCATAGGCCATAGCTATCTTTATATATCTTTATCATCTTTCTTGCTGATAATGACGGCAATTGAGATCTATTGTGATCAATTGCAAGTAGAGCCCGGGCAAACTCGGTGGCAGGAGCTTCTAGGAGGTAGGAAGTCTATGGAGGAAAAGGGGAGCCTATAGGAACGCAGAGTCGCCACCTGGTTCCCAAAACACTTGGTATATCGTTGGTTGTCATCTCTTTCGTTGTCATCTCTTTCTCGTTACATGGGTATCTCTTTTTTCTTCACATTTCTTTGTCTTGACATCTCATGGATTCGCTAACCTGCGCTGAATGACATTCGAAGTCCCTGGATTCCAATAACACATTAAATTACCACCAAAGATGCACCGAGCAATCCCAGCTGCCAGCATTGCCAGCATTGGCTCTCAGCCCAAAGGCACCAACGCACAAATGCACTTAATCTACCCTCTGGTAAACATACAAATAGCTATAGAAAATGGCCAATTTATAGTTGATTTACCTATTAAAATAGTGATTTTCCATAGTTATGTTAGTTTACCAGAGGGTAATCTTAATCTCAAGAGCTACCTTGGACCTTGCCGCAGGAATTCGACTGTGCCGAGCAATCCCCAAAACATGGCCATTCCCACAGATAGGAATTGCGCCTGCGGGCGACTTAAATAGCAACGACGCAGCCATTCCAACAAGATCTTCAAACCGGATCACAAAACACTTGCGTCAACGGTACGACGGTAGGACGGTAAGGCACAGAAACTGCAGAAAGACAACTTCCTTAAGCGGCGCTGACTTCAAGGGATCCAAATCGGAGTGGAACTGGGGGAACTGGGTGCTTTTCTCTTCTCTTCTTTTCGATTTTTCCCAAACACGACTTTCAGCTTTCCGCAACTCAGACATTTTTCTTGAAAACTTCTTCCGATCACTCACTATTATAACTAGCATAGTTGTGATGACTAGAACCACTATATAATCCAATTATTGTCGGTGTGATCACTATGATCGCTATGCTCATGACGGGTAGCATGGCCGTTATCATCATTGTCATTAGACGATCTTTTTTTTTATGATTGCATCAATCATTCTGCTCAATATCACCATCATCATCATTATATAATATCGTTATTGTTAGTACTATCACTATGATCAGTATGCTTTTTTATGATTATTATCACCATGAAGAAGCCCTTGTCAAAATAGCAAATTATTATCATCACCATGTGGTCATCCTCATCATTGCTACTATAATTACTGTCACCACTATGACTAACACGCGTTATTATTATCATTATTATCATTTGACGCACTGTGATCACCATTGACAAAACCATAACCACTATCATTACCATCATAACTCTAATCACTATCATCGTTGCTATCACTCTACTTCTCTTGCATTTTCTGTGCTTAAGGGAAAACTAGGCTCCGGATCCTTCAGACGCCCTCCATCCAGCGCCTCGCGGTCCACCACGCGCTCTGGATGCGTCTCGCGGAAGATTCACACCGCCTAGGCATCACCGTGGAATCTAGGCGAAATGCAGCTCTGGATGGATCCAGATGTTCAACAAAACCTGTAAATTGCTTGAATTTGCTGATGATTTCTTTTTCAAAGAGCTGTTGAATTTGTTGAACAATTGGGACAAGGAGGTGCCTGATATCCAGCATTGATCGCCCATTTTTTTTTTGAATTTCCTTCTGATTCCCATCCGTTGCTTTCAAATGTGGCACTAAAACGAAAAGACATGGAGATACCGGGCGTAAATAAACTTCATTGAACTTCATTGATAGGTATTATATTCCCATTATTTCCCATTGATAGGTATAATAACTTCATTGAACTAAATATTTTAAATGAACTTCATTGAACTTCCTTCTTCGAAATGAACTTTTCCAGTGTCAGGATAGGTTACCAGGGTACAGCTTGTGGTACCAACCATGACCGCACTTTGCTAGCACAAAGTCAACGCCTCACCCCAATGATCGTTGCTACGCAAGGGATATAGGGGTGAACCCGTCCCAACTGAAGAATAAAAAGAAGAAACCAACATCCCATGCCAATTGGGTAACCGACATTCTTTAACAGATTTCTGTCAGACTCCCGCTTCAATCATTTCAATCCGCCAACTCCGCCAAGGCACGCAGTTGCTCGCAGAGTCTTTCCATCTGAGGCCGCGCAAAATGGGGCGGCCGTGGCACTCCCAATGTTCGGAAGAAATGGAAGTTTCTTGGGGTCATCTTTGCAGAATCAGTTTCTGCATGAAGCAACACATAGCATATAACTTCGATATCTTCGATGATCTTGGAGCGCCCAATGTTGAGAAACGATAAATTTTTGTGCAGGGAACCTTAATTGCTATGCTGTCAAACCTCTATATATTAGAGCCATGGTCAATACTCACTATATGGCTGATGGTCATCCCATCCATAATAAGGATCCTTATAATGGTTATTATAAATCCCTATGAACCATTGGATGACTAGCCCCTATTAATGGTTATTAACCATGAGTATTGACCATAGCTCATATGTTTTCCTGTGACTTGTCCCATTTTTGCTGAAGAAATCAACCCAAAAAATCCTGCATTTAGGCGCCTCGCGTTGGCCACCAGAGAGCCCCAAACTTTTCAGCGCGCGATGCAGCTGCAGGATATTCAAGGTACCCACCTGGTGCCGGGAAATTGGTGCTTTCAATGGGTGAAATATGGTGAAATGGCGAAAAAGGTACTTTATAATTGCTGGTTACGCTGGTTACTGGATGTTGATTCCTCGAAATTTGGGAACTTGGAGGTGCAGGGCTCAAGGACTTCTTGATGGTTATAACTATGGTAATAACCCAAAAGTTGAGATATCTTAACCGTTTAACCCCTAAAAGTGAGGAAACACAGTTGTCCAAAAGCAGTCGTTTTGAACCAAAAATGTTGGCAACCAAAAAACTTGATTTGTTTGTGCTCCTCCAATTTATTTTGTATATTAAACCCCATTACTGGCTATTACCGCCATTGGCACTCAAGATATGTTTTTATCTATATGTATATAAATAATTACATATATATATATATAATCTATATAATTATATATATATATCCAATTACAACTGGAACTGCAACCCCCAAGTACTGAACACCATTAATGTGGGATTCACCCAATCCAATGAACCATCCCCAAGTCACCCCATTTTTCTGAGTGCGATGTTTACCAGTTTACTATCCCCACATGATCAAACTTAGATACCTCTCAAACAATCTAATTCTTAGCTGATTAGTACATTTTACCATTGAAATCGCAAAGGATTTAAAGTACTCTAATAAGTATCTAATGACAAAAGAGATCTTTAAGCAATGGTTGACCATTAGTACTTTAATATACTTTAATCATTTAACCAGCAATGGTTGACCCAAATAATCGGTTTATTTAGCCAGTGCCTTGCGCGCCTTGCGCTCATCAAAGCTGGCCATTAGTCGCTTGGCAGACTCCAGGAAAGGCTCATCATCCCGGCAGCAACGCAACCTGTGACTCGGTGATGCAGTGGATGCAGGTGGGACATATCTAACATGGGTCACCGTATCACCGGATTGGTTTGTTGGGGAAAATCTGAACACCGGAAACTCCGGAAACCATTTTTTTTTTCCTATGAAATATGGAGCTTTCCTGTAAGCTTTCCCTTAAACCAACCTTGGAATGGTTTGGGATGGCTGAAAGGTGCTCAGTCGATGCCCGAGACTGATCCTTAGGCTCATCATAGCCATTATACGAAAGGTGCAGTTCCAGTTCGAAATGGGTCAACTGCCATTACCCTCTGGTAAACGTTTACAAAAAACTATGGAAACTCACCATTTTTAATGGGAAAACTCACTATTTCTATGGCCATTTTCAATAGCTTCTTGTAACAAATTACCAGAGGGTAAATCTCAGTTCCAGCCGCATTGAACCCCATTAATGACAGCTTTCTGGCGCCCTTTTGCTTCCCAACAGTCACTTTAAAGTCACTTTAGGCTTCCCCACAGAGCTCGTTTGATGGCAGCCAAAGCATTCTCCAACCAGCGCGGCCGATCTGCAGGTGGTAAACACCTTGATGGGCTTCGGTGGATTTGTGTGGGAAATGATGGGTACCCTCTGGTTATGTCAAAATAGCTATTGAAAATGGCCATAGAAATAGTGGATTTTCCCATTAAAAATGGTGATTTTCCATAGTTATGTTAGTTTACCAGAGGGTATATGGGTCAATCCCAGGAAATACATCCTCTCGGATGATGGCCTGAAAGTCATGGCAAAAACCCCCCCAAAAAACAGCACAAGTCGCGTTCAGAACCAGGCGCCAGTGGCTTCCGTAAATCTGTTGCTCTCAATGCAATGAGCTTGCAGTGAAAAGCAACCGCACCACGCAAAAAAACAGCAACAAGAAACAAGTGCAAAATGAAACATAAGATTAAACATGATTAAAAGCATACCAACCCATCACACCTGAAAACAAGAAGGAAGAAGACGAAGAAAAAAGCAGAAGCACACCAGAAGCAAAATAGCAATAAGAAGAAACAGAACATCACATGGAAAAACAAGTTCATATGCTAAAAACAAGCCAGCAGGTCCTGCAGGTTTCATATGTGTCCCATCCCCCAAAATGATTAAAATGATTTTGAGTCCCAGGAAGGGACACCAAAATGGATAGATCAAGTACAAAACGAGACGTTTGAAGGTTAGGGTCAAGGGAAACTAAAGGCTCTGAGGATTAAACATGATTAAACCATGTCAGCGTTTTTAATGAATTGTTTAAAGGAATGATGTTCAATTCCTAGCTTGGCTGCTCCATCACCATTGTATCCCCAGCATTTTCTGAGGCGAAGACTCCTGAACTCCTTGCAGATACTGCGACTGCGCCAAGCCACACCTTTTACCAGCTGTGATGCCACGTCCATGCAGTCCATGTCTGATGGCTTCAACACATCCAATCAGAATACAAGCTACTTGAAGTAATGTTAATATGTTAATATGATGTTAAATATATGATGTCATATGATGTTGATAGGCCATGATAGGCCACCATCCCAAATAATCATTCGTGAACATCCATCTACACATTTCAACCAAACACATTTCAACCCCTTTTTTACCCTTGGTCAGTGGCTGTGCCACGTCTCAGAGGCAAAAAGAATCGCACCTGTTGAGCAGTTCGTAGTAGGAGATCTTGCCCGAGTGGTCAGTGTTGAAAATGTCAAACCTTGGTTTGTCAAAAGTCCTGCAGAGATTGGATGGAATAGAGCCATCCAAATTGGTTATTTAACACTTCGCCATGGAAAATCACCATTTTATACCATTTTTAATAGGTACAGTACACCATTTTTTATAGCCAAAAATTGGTCTCAAAAGCCGGACTGGGGAGGTATGACCAATTTTTTTTCACCGTTGGTAATCAAACGGATGTGCCTTCTGGAATCTCCAGTGTAGGGATGGCATCAACTTCTTGGGGATGCTGTTATTTGTCAACGGTTTTTTTTGATGCTCAAATAGTTTGAAGCAATCTGGATGGATTTTCTTAGATCAAATTTCTCTGAAACAACAGTTGTATCACTGGAATAATCCCGAAGATGTGTTGTAGCTGCGTTAGAACTTCTGTCTGATCGGATAACGAGAAATCTTCGAAATCTTCACGGTGTCTGGGCTGCCCAAACAATTCTTGAAGTCGTTCCCGGGGCAGTGGCAACTTCAAGTCTCGCAGCATCACACCTGACAGCGGCGCTTCATGGAACCAACATTTTGTACCGGGATTGTCGTGCCTATATCACAACATTTGGGCGCAAATCCATTAGCATTAGCATCTATTAGCATTTGTAGTTGTTTGAAAAACCCTTGTTGGCCTTCATCGGTTGCAACCCCCTGCTTCAACCATCCTTTTCTTCCTTACAACCTACCTTTGACCGCTTAAAAGCCGCTTAAATCTCAGTTTTTATCCTGGAAAATCAATGAAAATCATCTAAAATATCCCCCATCATATGGGCACCTTCCCCATCCCTATCCCCATCCCCATCATATCCCACCACTCAGAATCACAAGTCCCACCTTCTAACTGGCTGAAGCTCAACCTTCCGCTGCCCTCATCCGCATCGCAGAAGGTCTGCATCAGAGCACCGCAGCCATAGCGCGCAAGGGCGCCCTGGAGCTGCTAAAAAATTGGACCGTCTTGAGCAAAATATTGTTTGACTTACCATCTGGTAAACTAACATAGCTATTGAAAATCACCATTTTTAATGGGAAAAACAACTATAAATGGCCATTTTCAATAGCTATGTTAAATTACCAGAGGGTAATGTCAACCCTGGATTAATAAACCCCAAACGGCTGTTTACCATAAAAAAGTATTAGATGACATGACTATTGGAGGAGTACCCCCCCTAATTGTCATAAACTATGGTTTATTAATCCGGGGTTGACATTAATGGGAAAATGTACTGGAAACTATCCAAACCAAGGATTTGTTGAAAATAATGGAAGGACACCACGTCAATCCGCTTGAAAAAAAACAACTATATTTTCCGGCCTATTTGCCAATACATTGGGGGGAAAATTAAAATCATCCATACAACTGACCTAAGTGGTAAGTTCACCGAGAAAACCAATGGTTGACAGCTATTCATCGCTGATCCAAGGGTCTAAGCTGGATTGATTGCGCAACTTGGGAGAAAAACCTTTTTGCCCATCAAATCAAAAAAACATGGGTCACACATCCCGTTTCACCAGGAAACTTGTCTTTAGAATAGTTTGCCTTTTTTTTATTGACCAAAATTGTGATTTCATCAAAACAACATGATTTTGCATCATTATCCATGTGGTTTCACCCACACCAATGACACCAGTAGGAAACCATTGTCGCAGGCACGAATTTGGGATCGTCACCGACATCACCACAATTTCCATGCTGCCTTCAACTCGCCCAAGATGTCTTCCACACGAGCAGCCTGGGAATTCTGGTGGTTTCCGTAGCTGAAACTGACCAGGATGATCGAAAATGATGTTGTTGTTTGCGACCCTGGTAATTTGTCCGACGACATTTTGCCCAATTTCTTGGTGGATCTCCCTCCATAGTAGAGGTTTCCATAACTATGATAATCACCATTTATGTTTTTTTGTGTGTTTTCCATAGCTATGTTACCAAAGGCTCAGCATTGCCTCCAGGCGATATTGCAACTCGCTGATGGAGAAGCTCTGCCGCCTGGGATTCAGGATTTTATCATGGTTTTTCTCATGAAACATGGTGGGGTTTTGCCATAAAAGATGGGACAGTTTTACCATGAAACATCTTGATTTGACCATGGACAATACGGATTCCAGCATGGAAAATACAGAACTACCCATCAGTTGATCTGAGATTCACTGAGTTGTAACCTTTTACAGCTGACACGTATCTGGGATATCAGCTCTTTGCAATTTGCAATCTACCTGGGCGAAATATGATACTTCTTGGAGCTGAGCTGAGCAGTTCGGGGGTGATGATTCCAATCCTGTCCATCATGTAATTTGCCCCTTGAACACCGGGCAATATCACGTGAAATATGCGGAATCCACATCTTTGTTGTTTCATAACCTATCTAGATGCCATTATTGAGGTGCGCCAAGTTAATATCCCATTTGGGGACGCAATATGAATGGTAATATGGGAAAACCACATTTTCCATGTGGTAGTACTGGGTAGTCGAATGCACAGGTTTGTTGCTTCCCATTTCAAAGGTATTACAGTAACCATTTTGACCAATCCATTACCCGTTGACCCACCATGTCAACCATATCAACCAATGCATGTTTAGTGCACCTCATGGCCCAATCTACCCTCTGGTAATCAAACATGCAACATTCCTGAACGAAATAGAGGTTTCAATGGGAAAAACATGGGAAAACAGAGGACATTTCATAATTCATGATTTTCATGGAGTTTTCAATATGTTTTGATGGGAAAATCATTGCTGAACTATCCATCCAATCGGTTTCAAAAACCGGTGTCCAGTTATGGATTATAACCCCAATAAACCAGGTAGTATAACCCAGATTTCATAACCAACATTTATCAATGATATCCTCCATTTTGCCAGAATCATAAGGGTCAAAACCTTGGTACCCTAGGTACCCCAAAGTAGTGGATTCATGGTTCTTCTCCCAGTCATATGGTAATTTCAGAGTTTTTCACCCATCCCCATGGCCCATCCCATAACTATTTGGGGGGTTCCTAAGTCATAGGGCACCCCAAATCATCCAAGACATTGGACACTTTTAGTATGAAAACCTATGGTGACTTCGGGATCTCCATTTCAGGAAACCTCCACATGTTGTTTTTTGTAGGAAGCCTGGCCATTAACCTAACATTTTGGGGATGGTAAACATACCACCCATCAAAGTCATGGTCTTGGGGATGGTAAACATGATTGGCGCCTTACCGCATTTTGTTGCTTTTCAAGTGGGATCGGAGGGATGCGACTAGATATATATATATATATATCTTATATATATGTATACATCATGATTTAGGGGTACCCCCCCATTTCAGGAAACCTCCAATTCAATAACTGGACTGTTGGCCTTATATATATATATACTAGTTGGTGGTTTCAACCCCTCTGAAAAATATGAAAGTCAGTTGGGGTTATTACTCCCAATATATGGAAAGTCATAAATTTCCATGGTTCCAAAGCACCAACCAGTATATATCTGGGTAAATTATAATATTTCACTAACCTGAATAGTTCGGCCATAAAAGGGGATGATTTCCCATATATAAATCATGATTTCCAGTGTTCGGGAGAACAGTGAGGTCGTGATCAAATTTACCCAGATGCCATGTTGACCATCCCCCAGTCATCACCATGTTTTCTGCAAAAAGGGGCACCCGGTGTCGAACTCCGTGAGGAGGTGAGCCAGGTCTGTGTCCCGCAGCCTGGAAAGAACTTGGCGACTCGCCATAAAAACCATGGGAAAATCCATGGGAACCATGGGAAAATCAATAGAAACAATGGGAAAATCCATGGGTTTAATGGGAAAAAATATGTTTTAGGGATTTTCCAACCAAAAAACAATAGGTTTTTGGTTCCCAACTGGAAAAATGGAAAAAAAAAAACAGGGTTATTTTCCCATTGTTGGACATGTTTTAGGGTTTTACCAACAAAACAAAACACCATAGGTTTTATTTGGGAACATTTCCCATTCGAGCTTTTAAATCATTGAAATTTTTGGGTGCCCAAATAAGATTTTCTGGCTGGAAAAGGGGGAACATCGGAAACCATGTGTTTTTTTTATCATGAAATCTGGGGGTTTCCTGTTGATTAATGGGGTATAACTATGTCGACTGACCAGTTGCTAAGTGGGGTGATCCTCCAAGAGCGGGTAGCTATGAACAATTGTGCACGTACGACGTATATATAATATAATATAAATAATATATATATATATGACTACATATGGCTTATATGCGTGCTTATGTTGGCAAGCTATCTGTTTCAGTCGCAATGTAAGTAGATGAGAGTACACCTAGCTCCCACGAATATCACACATCGTTAATCTTTTAAGTACACGTGGACCCCATAGCAGATTTGCCTCCCCACGCGATCCGTCATTCCGAGCAGTATATCTTCGCAGATACGCTAGACATAGATCACGGAAAATCCAACATCCTTCCAAAATATTCCAAAATCAATTATTTTTTTCCCCATCTTTATAGTCTTTCCCAGTACTGACATGTACTAACTAATCTACACCCAGTAAACCATCATCTACCTTGAGGTCGTTTGGCAACAACGCCAAAATTCCATCCAAAATTCAGAAAAAGACCCCCCATTTTTAGCTACATCAACCTACAATTCACCAGTCAGTTTAGCATGTTTAGCCAACCTACCAACACCAGTGCCTGCAATTGATCCTTTGGAAGATCTGTGCCAGCTCATGAGCTCCCACTTCTCCGTCGTTCTTCTGTGCCGAGGCTTTCAACAAAATGGCTGAGATGGACAGCTGGATATCATTTTGAGTATCATAGTTGACATGGCAAAACATTGGAAGTCTAAAATTGGTTGACTAATAACATGTCTATACATTAAACACATGTATAAAAGCTCTACCCAGTAAAAACGGATGGACATTTGTGTATCATGGGTTGAACATTTGGTTCTTCTGGTGAGTACACCATTCTTTCACTGTAACTCGACCAACACTTTTGAAGAGAGATATGTTTTGTCGAGTCAAATGACAGATCTATGCAACATCCACTGGGGACGAAATCTGTTTGTCCTTCTTGATCCTTTTTGCAGGTTTACACTATCTCTTAATAAATCATTAAATAACCTCTGTTCCCCCCGATGTTAACAAAACAATGGCTTAGTTTTGGATCCATTCCTCTTGAGGCAGTGATCATTTGGGGAATTCAACATCATGCGGATGGGGACGAGCCCATCAGATCACTCCAGCCTCGTCATGCAAATGAACCTTACCGAAAGTGCACGGAAGCAGCATGGATGCACCTAGCACCTATCTTTGGGTTGGTTTCAATTAAACATCGACAAGCAACACTAGTTTTCACCATCAAGGATAGGGTTTGATAAACTGGGGACTTATCATCATCTCTTTAAATCAATTTATCCATCAGCATTTCTCAATCATTTCTCCATGCAAGGTGGTCAACGGCCTTCGACACTATAGTACAATAACCTAATTCAGACTTCTATCATCTTCTATCAGTTGTTTTGCAAATCAACATTCTAACTTAAAAAAAACACTGGGCTTCTACCTTAAGCAAACATTCAATCATCATTCAATCAACATTCTATGATTGGGTTTGCATGGCTTTTGCCAAATTCAGTGGTTTCTTGGACTGAGAATTGGCCGAAAACTCCAGCCACGTGGAGCCGTGAGCCACAACCAGAATTTGTCGCGGCTTAGTCACCCATATATGGCCATGAAAACATATGCAGCTGATGGAACATGCTTCATACATATATATATATATGGTTCTTTTGTATATATGATTATATATGTATATAGTAATTATATATATATGTACATATTTATATTTATATATACATCATTCCACAGCATTTGGGGTTGCAGAATTTGAGACAACTCCATATTTGACCGCCTAGTTGTGAT